CTGCCTACAGAAAAAGGCAACACGAAACAACCAAAAGCCTCTGCTGTGACCGAGCCGTGATCCCCTCTCCTCAATCTTCCTTCTTATTTTCTCTTCCTTCAGCCAAAGAGAGGCCTGGGTGAACTATGCGTGTAAAATAGTCAGCACTGAAGAAAAAAGCTTGATTTGAAATAAAAACATGTTATGTACATTTTATGTATGTGCAAAAAGTAGAAACAGAAACCAGCTTAAAGCTTAAAACTTCCCCTGAAACTTCCACTTCACTGCTTTTCATTTTCTATCATTATATGCGTCACTGGATGTTGGAATCTCTTGCTGATATTTAGCCCCACTTATAAACCATGTTTCCTGCAAAAACAAGTTATTAAGACGGCACGGCGAAAGCTGATTGGAGAGGCTGACGTGCAGTCTTCATCTGCTTCTATTGTTGTCTTCAACACCTGAACCGTCAGTGAGCTCAGGCATGTTTTGTGGGGTTGGACCGCGATAAACAGACAGCTGCATCATGCTGCTGATTGCGCGAGCACGCTGTGAATACTCGGTTGATCATAATTACTGAGGGGTTGGAGAAAAATGACCACTGCGAAAGGCAGATGGGAGTGTATCCACACACCTCCCATCTCACACTCATTCATAACAGCCCTCCTGAACAACAGCCTTAAATGATTTTAAATGAAGTCGAGTTCCTTTGGGTGAGATCATTAGCATCTGTGTTTAGAAGAAGTCGTGCTTGGCATTTGTGAAAAACATCTGAATGAAAAGAAAAGAGTGCGGACTTTAAATAAGATGTGTGTACAAAGCTGCACCTTCCTGTCGTGTTCGGGTCAAATCTGACCGATTTACAAATTTAAAAACTCATAAATATTGTGTTTTACATCCGATTGCCTCGAGACCTTATGACATCCTCCACACTACACACGTGAACATATAAAAGTGATGAACACCTCTTTTGTTAAATTCTGAGTGTTTTAATCAGCTTTGTTACATCTGTGGTGTTCCCAGCCAAAAGTGACCGCCATAGAAAATGAATGGGAATCCACCCCCTGCCATCTATAATCCAGTTTTGAGATCCCTTCCCAGACGCCTTAACGCCCACTCAGGAAATCACATGATAGGGTGGGGCTAGGTTGCACGAGCTCACCCAAAACCTTGGCTGATTGTGACCCACACCCGTTTTCACACCTTGGCTCATGTGATTAGGTAGAGGATCATTAAGGGGTCCTTTTGTCCCTCTTGGGGGAAACTTCCACAAGGTTTAAATCTGGGACTCTCCACCATTTGACCTTAGAAACGAAGGAAGCTTCTCGGATGAGAGGTGAAACGTCCTCAAGCAACTTAAAGAAGTCCAGACGCTTTTCTTTCCAAGCTCCTTAGACTTTAGAGCTACTGTAAGTTTACACCAATGAGTCTGAGTTACTTTTATATTCAAACAGCAACATACATGCCTGGCAAATGATGTCAGCACAGAAGTGCAATTCTAGCAAAATATAAGAGCTAATACAAGACTTCTGCACAGTACTGTATGTGTTAAATTTGAGCGCAAACTCTAGCTAGAGATGTAATCCATTTCACTTTCTTTAGCTTCGGCGTTTTCTTATTACATGACAGTGAAACCAAAACTCAGTGCAAAACTACCTAAACAAAAAGAAAGCATTAAAACTTGAGTCTTATTTGTGTTGTCTTGGTGTGAAAGGTTATTGTTGATGTGTGGGAAGATATAAATAAGTCGAAGAACTCAAAAGTAAAAAACAGTAGGATAATCATTGTGAGTTTAATGCAGGTTTTTTTTGTCTTTGCAGACATCACTGACATTTTAAGCACATTCGCTAAAACTGATTTTGATAAGATTGGTAAATAGCTAATAAAATAATAATCCCTTGTCACTGATGTTGTGATCCAACAAGTCAGTTTCATCTTTTTTGTATGACGCCTAAGAACTAAGAACATACGTCTATTTTGAGTGTGTATTCTCCAAGCTGTATGTCCCACATGGCTGCTTGTTTTTCTGCAGTGCTATCAGCCTCTTCATCACCGGGGCATATGTCTTCATTACCATATCTGACTGGCCTGCTAACACGCAGGTGGAGGAAGCATCAATCACCAGGAGCAGCAGATAACAGAATGGATGGGACAGAAGCATTGATTGAATCCTTGGGGTTCTAAACCAAAGTCATGTTAAAGAAGAGGGTTAATGCTTCAAGGGCCACTTGAGGTCAACGGAGGCGCCAACGGAAGCCAACGGTGACAATCGAGGCATGTTACAAGGTCACTCATGCCAGTCATGTCCTTGATAACACATCATCGATTTTAGGAGAAAAAATAAAGCAGTTCATGTGCTGATTTTTGCCACAAAGGAGCTGGGCTAAATACGCTTCTCAAGGACAAAATTATGCAAAATTTATTTTTAAGATTTTTAATTTGCTTGCTCTTCCTGCTAGCTAGACACTAAGAAGGTGCTATAAACAGTATTATTAAGGACCGTGCAGATGACTTTGTCCACTTATATTCAGTAGCTGAGGCGACGTCAATCATTGACTGCTGTATGTGAATCAGATTGACCAGTTGTTACCATCACTGAGCAAACATTACTTTCTCTTCATGTTGCAAGGTGTCTCAAAGTGTGGTAGTGTACACATTTTCCTGGCATACGAAACATCCCTGGTTTGATCCTGGGAAGACACACAAATCCCTTGTGATCCTTGTGATTAAGGGAGCAGCTGAAAGTAGTTTCTTCATTTGAAAGTAAAGTACTTGAAGTCACCCTCCATCTGTCTAATGTGCAACAACCATTTGTGCCATGGAATATGGTCTAAGGTGACTTGAAAGTGCTTTGCAAACTGACTGCACTGAAAATATTCTGAATATTTAAATATAAAACACCAACTTATGTGTCGTATACGTAGGTTTGGTCATGCTGGCTGAAAACATGTGGCCTTACTGCAGTTACACTAAGATCTATGGGACTGTAACCTCCATGTGGCAAGGGAAAAAAAATCTGTGGTTGCCGAGTAACTGCATTTAATTCTTTTCTCATTCGGCAACTGATTGCAGGCAGTCGAGGTGACCCACTAGTCCATCAGAGAATGAGCGTGTAACATCCTCAGCCTCTGGGTGACGCCTTTTGATCACAAGGTGACTGCACACTTTGGCTGTTGGGAGTCAACCTGCCTCCAAACCATCGGCCTGACTTGTACAGACTACACTCAGACACACTGGCGAAGGATTGCAGTCAGTCTGAGCTGTCTGCAGAACATACAGCACTCATCTTCACTGGTTTTCAACTGGTTGTACTCTGGTTACATTCCTATATAAAATCAAGCTTGACTAGCTCCTGTGTCATTAAGCAGTTTAATCTGATTCCTGCAGCATCTGTTTCACTATTTGTAGAAGATTTTCTAGATTTCAATTGTAAATCTACAAGTTTCTGGCCAGACTCTAATATTTAAGTGACTGATGTAAATTTCCGTGTATGCAGTTGGTAACAGAGTTGCAATTGTTGACAGTTTATCAGTTAATTGCCACATTATCACAAACAGATTGCATATAATTGCCAACTTGATCCTATTCAATCACAAATTGATAGCAGACTCTGTCTTATTACCATTTTATTGCCATCTTGATGCACTAAAGTTACTTTGAAGGCAACAAGTGGTCACAGCCACTGTTTTCCTGAGTGTGAAGCATCATTGTTTGTTTTATTTATTTTAAAAAGTGAATATAAATATAAATAATCGTTAGATCACAACCAATCCAATGCATTTCAAATAAATCTACCAAAAAAACTGCAACCAGGTTGCGCATTTTTCCTATGCACAATCTGATTGTAGAGATGATTACAGATGTGCAAAGCTAGCTACTTAATTGACTATTACTGATAAGCTTTTTAAGAAAAGTAGTAGAAGTAGAAGTAGTAGAAGAAAAGGTAGATTAAAAAAAACTAACTCAGATACAATTATGTGAATAACACTGATTCTGACAGGGATCCAGGGTCTCAGACCCAGATCCTGGGTCTGGGTCTCAGACCCAGGATCCCTGAGCAGTTATGGACTGGTTATATTATATGTATTATATGTATTTTTGGTGTTGCTGCCCCTCTTCTCCATGTTTGTAGATATGAGTGTGTGTGTGGGTGCAGGTGTGTCTGAACTCTTGCTTACAGGCGCCTTCATGCGTGGTGGGTGTGGCCCTGCTAGGGGACTGGCCACACCTGAAGCCACACACCTGCTGCTGATCAGGTCTCGTCGGGGGAGCTACTTAGGAGAGTCTTGGAGCTCCCACCGACGCGGGATCATTATGTTAGACTCCCAAGTCCGTGTGTGTGTTTAGGAAGTGCAGATCGTGTGTGTGCCCGCGGGGGTCAGTGTTTAACGGCTGCCTCTATTGTTTTCCTACAGGAGGAACGTGGAGAGGAAGGGCAGCACGCACAGGGTGTGCAGAGTCACGACAGCGGGGAGCACGAACACGGACGCCACTGGAAGACACACATGGGAGCCTTGGGGAGCACGGGGATTAATTGTGCATCGATATTTACCACACTTTAAATAAACGCACTGTCTACACACAGAGCTCCACGCCTGGGTCCTCCTTTCCCCACATCGCAATGGTCTGCCAGCCAGACCGTGACAGATTCATATGTAAAAGCATCCTGAATTTACTTTCAGTCAGTGAACTGGTTGACCTTTGACTATAGTGTAGTCATTCACCACAGTGGTTTACATGCTTCTGTCTTTGTTTTCTAGGCGTTCACCTTTAACTAGTTGACTTGATTCTCACCAGTGTGCATCTACAGAAGAACAGGCCGAATACAGACAAAGCATTCAACATTCACTCAGGATTAGATTTGTTGTTCCAAAGAAACGGAATCAGAGGGAGCTCAGAGGATGTGAGCCAGGGTTGGTGATTGTTTCAGTCGGGGATCACTGGGATTGGACGCAGGAGGGATAAAGTAGGCATTGATTAGCAGGGACTGGTTGGGATCTGGGCTCATTTCAATGGCTTACCTTTTTGTATCTGGGGACAGGAAGCTGTTTTGTTCCAGCAAACATAAAGCACCAAGACACAGAGTCGATGACAGCATGCAAAAGAGTAAGGTGGAGAAGAAAAAAAAGAAAACATTGATCATATGAAATTAAAGTTATAGGTGACAAAAAAACAAAAACATGCAAACAACAAAGGAGAAAAACAAAAACAAAGCAGTCTGCAGTGTTTCAGAAAGATTTTTTGGTTTACACAGCTCAGAGCGCTGCTGAAATGCCAAATGTGGAAACAGTCTGAGTGGAAAAGAAATGATTAAAGTAATAGTGGATTTGAATGGCCTGTTGATACAGTGAATATAATTGAAAATCCATTAATTTATTTGTTTATATTTGGCTATGTTAATTGGATTTGAGACAATAGTTAGTGACAGTTTGAGACAAGTCTGAGTTACACAAACAGCTCTGTGTTGTTGTGCTGCTGGAGACTTTAACACAACAGCTCACACAGTATCCAGACCATAGTAGAGAAAAATAGGATTTCAACACACGCAACATGAAAACACGTCCATATGGTGAGAGGGACACCTTCAGTGGCACTCATGGCTGTTTCTCACAGTCAGGAGTTAAAGTGGGCTGGAACTATTTAAGACTATGTTATTAATAAGTAAATAAGTCTGAGCGGTTGATTCATGCTCTGTAATTTAAGCGAGTTTATTTTTCAGCTCATTTCTGTTCTGGCGTGGCTCTTTTGTGAGCGGGTCACTCATGTCATAACCTCTCATTAATGCCACTGTTGTGACAAGGTCTGTTTGATCGTTTGCTAACATAACCAGCAAGACTTTTGTGCCTCAACAAAATAACCAAGTCCAAAAAAAGAGAAATAAATATATAAATAAAACGCAACTGAAAAACAATACCAAACAGCAAGTGAAGAAAAAGCCAAAGAGCATGAAAAAAGGGTTTTCCAGTGGAAAACCTCTGGGACTATTAACTCGTGTAGCCTAATACACTGACACTAATACAGTCTGTGTGTAACAATGAGTAGCAGGAAGGATTTCACAACATCCTGGATGAAAATGTGCTGCACTTTCTATGTGCTACCGCTGGGCATGCCTTCCAGTCAATACTATGGGCACACTCAACCCATAATCCTCCTAAAAGACATGCATTCACACATTTTGATTCTTATCTCTGTCATGCATTCATATGTGCAGGTCGATGAAGTGGGATCACTAAAACAAAAGATTAGGATATCTCTTTGCTAGCTACTGACACAGAGCTATATTCCCAGTTAGAGAGAACACGTTCAATATGAACAGCTTCATTGTCAGACATGACAAAAGGAAAGTTTGTTTAGTTACAGTTTATGTTACAGTTACAGTTAATTTAGTTTAGTTGAGTCAAAGTTAAAAGATCACCCTGAAAAGTTATCTTGTTAATTCATGTTGTTAAATGTACTTGACATTAAAGAATGTGTAAGTTAAAAGCTGTGTGAGAATCCTGGACACTGCAATTCGTGCAGGCTGCAGAACCAAGCTGCTTACAGTATTTTGGTAACACTTGTAGTAATAACATGGCACTTTGATGGGGTAGGACATATTCACTGTTTGTTTAAGAGTAGCAGTTACCAGCTTGAATTCAAACTTGCATTGAAAAGCATGAAATCTGTGGAGCAATCTTAATATTTCTCCACAGAGAACAAACAAATCTATCCAAGCTCACAGTAAGTAAAAGTTGCTTCTTTGTTTGCTTGTTTGTTTCTTTGGCCAGAGCTGGGATCTGGTTAGCTAAGGTATGTATAGACACCTACCCTGGGTATTCCTAAGCTGTTTACCACAGGACATTTTTAAGCTTAAAAGGAGCAGAAATGTAAAAGCAACATATTATGCTCTAACTTGTGTTTTGACTCTGGGTATCTTTGTACGATGAGCCCTCGTTCCTGTATAAAGACACCATATCAAATCTGCATATACCCGCCAGCTGTATTGAACAGTCTTTTCTTTTGAGGTTTTGCAGATTCTGTGTCCACTAACTAGGTGTCATTGACTTGTCAACATGATGACAATTTTGGATCAGTCGGTGAACCCTTGGCAGCCACCTGTCGCTCTGCAAAATGTGTACTCCCCAACCAGTTGGCAAAACCCTCTTTGTGATGGGTTTGACATATTGCATATTGCTACGGCTGCAGTGTGAATGGATGTGATGGACTTGTCTACAAACACTGTCCAGCTACTCTGTTAGCTGTTGTGAAACTGTGAAAGGTGC